CGGATCCGAGAACGAAAGTCCAATGAAGACATAGCGAGCTAATTGCGTCAGTTTGCATGGGTTAGCTAAGTATGACGGGGGTAGTGGAACCTGAAGAAGAACGCGAGACGGTCGAAGCGTGTCGAGAAATGGAGTCGGAGTGGAGAAATCGGGGACGTTGTGGAGGGGGAACTCAGAGGCAGATAGACGGCAAAGGGCCCCGAGGTAAGTTAGAATCGACGAGTCGAATTCGTGGATTTGAAGTGGGAGAACTAATTGAGTTCGGGCATGGGTTCCGTGGTAGACGAGGTGGGGAGAACTTCCGAAAGTAGAGTGAAGGAACCGAATGGGTGCCAGAGACTATAAAAGCTAAGGAGGACATATAAGTAGACGCGCGGGAGTGGTGGGTTTACGGTGACGGAACTAATGGTGATTGACTAGGGCAGGTATGAAAGGGAGAACGGAGGAAGTAAAAAATCAGTAGCCGAAGAACACTCGGATCGTAGAACTTCGAGAGGTTACTGCTGAAAGTGGCGTAGGAGTTGTAACAATCGGCCGACCAAAGAAAAGAAAAATGCTGCGAAGACTGTCAATTAAAAGCAGAATTATGTTGAGAATGACGACTAAAATGTTTAAAACGAAGACCGAGCTGTAGTCTAGATATAAATAAATAGAATTAAATAGAAATAAATAAATAATAAAAATAGACACATAGAGAGCACAATAATTATTATTAGCGAAGCAGTTAAGAAAATTAACTGAGGCTAGTAGATCATTATTTTCCGCCATTTTGTGCACGAATGTGTCGACGCTCTCCTCGCTGATACAATAACAGTCGAAATAATTAATTTCTTCGAAACGTTCCATGCATAATTAAAAATCAGTCCACATAAAAGTAGCGCAACAATTTCTTCTAGAATTAGTGTGGGAAAAAAAAGCGATCGAGCTTCTTTCGTGTACAGCACAGTGATCGAAAAGTCGACGTGTATAAAGCGTTAGTATAGTTTGTTCGGCCGAAAGAACATTTTCGTTGCTCGAAGAACGCTTCACGATTCGATCGTGTTCCCACGTACGACTCGAAGGGACGTTTTCGGTCTTTCAACGGGATACAGGCTAATGGAAAAAAATGCATGTCGGAGATTTCCCACCGCTCTATGGCCGCGCGAAGTTTCATCAAAATCGACAATTGAAACTTCGCGATGGTCCCCCGCGGGAGGAGGAATAGGTAGTTTCGAGAACTTGCGATTGGTAGACAAGATATAGCGAACTCGTGAAATTTTCTTTCAGCGACCGCAAGGACCTTCTTCACGCCCCGGAGCGATCCTCTTCACAGACATTTCAAATGGAAAGGTTTCAGAGTTGGCACAGCGCCGATCAACTCGAATTCGGTTTCCATTAGTTTCTCTTTAAAAATCAGTCACCCTAAAATGAGATACTGGGAACGGGCTTATTCTAGGCTACTCCGGCAGCCGGACGTTTTAGCCAACAATGGCGGATCTTCGATTCGATTGCGGGACTGCTTGTGTAATCTTCGTGGACGGACTTCGAGCACGGTTCAAACTTTTTCGAGAGGTGACAGGCGGGTGATAAGGGGAAGGGGGTCGAATCAAATTAGATCGAAATTGGAGACAGCTACAAGAATATTGTAGCTGGAATTTCGGAAGCATTTATAAATATATTTCGAGAGAAAAGTAACGCCGTTTCTCTTCAACTGAATGTAAAAGAGAAAAACTGTTCGTTATTTATACGAAACTGAGTTTCGTAAAAGCAGAGATAAATTAGGTATTGCAATTGATAATTGTTGTTGCAGTTCAACCCTTTACACTCGAAACTATTTTAACTCTCAATCGAAGATGTTTTCTCTAATTCACAATTTTTCCATTCGAAAATAACCGTAAAAATGCAGTCTACTAATTCGTATAATATTTGTACTTTTTCAAACGTAAATAAAATTCCATAATTTCAGAATTATCTTGCAACGTGATATAGCAATTTTTAGTGGCGCTTCGGAGACAGGACTCGAGTTCAAAGGGTTGAGTATCTCAAAAATAAAAACTCGAGTACACTGGCAACGTAATTGCGTTTGTTACGAAAATGTATAAACGAGAACTACGGTGCAAAACTAAGTAAAAAAAAAATGTACGAAGAACATTTGAAGAAGAAGTGCCGAATTAGTTCCATGAAAATGATTTCGCATTGATGCGGCAAAAGTTCGAAGTATTTCTAAATGTCGATCGAAAATTCGAAACTTTATTACCAAAAATTAAGAGCAACTCCGAAAAAAAGCAACTACGAGACCATTAAAGCAGAACGAGAGCTATTTTTTTCAAGCTTTTCCAATCTCAGTTTACAATTCCATTTTCGCTGCATTGTTGCAACATTTCGTGCAGCTGCACGGTAAAAATACCGTTTTACGTTAACAAGTTCAACGAGGATATTTGCCTGTATTTTGCATATATTCTGTCGCTTAACCTCGACCTCTCCGCCATTTGTCCGCATTGTCGCTGTACTCCGGGTTCGCGAAAGATTCTGGAACGAGATTGCCTGCACCCTCGTGAGAACAGCTTGCGCCGAGTGTCCTCTTTAATGTGGTCATTCTGGTTAAAAAGTCGATAGAATAACGTCTTTTTCCTTCGGAGCGACTAAAAAATTCGGAATCGTCAACGTTGGACGTGACGGAATTAGGTTAAATCGCACGGAAACCAGCAAATATTCTTCGAAATAATTAATTGCACAAAACGTTGTTAAATTAATGAGAATTTATAATTTCTTCAAACAATGTTCGGGAAGAATTCAGAATCGAATAATTAGTAATATCGAACAAAAAAGTGATTGTACATCTTTCAAACCGCGATATCTTTTTGAAAACTGATCTAAATGACTTGAATTGTTCTTTTTTTAATGACAGAGGGATTAGCGTCTACTACACGATGGCTAAAAAGCTTTTTTTTAAATTTTGCTATTACTTGGAATGAAAAGAAAAAATTAGAAACCCTCGACTTTTAACTTTTTTAAAAATACCTTTTGAGTCATTGCATTTCAGTCATTGTCTAGTAGACTAGTCTCTTTATCATCTAAAA